CTCTCTCGCTCTCTCGCTCTCTCGCTCTCTCGCTCTCTCGCTCTCTCTCAGACACTCAGGTATTGACATAACAATAAATGGGGGGGGCTGGATGTCAGCCCAAACAAGCCCCCTCATCTGCCTGCTGCCTGAACCAGTCTGTGGTTACCTTGGCCAGCAGCACACTGGGCTCTGCTTGCCCACCAGCCCCCTGCACCCGATAGACAGCAATCAAGAGCATGGTGCTGAACTGCAAACGAAATTTGAAGAGCATTCCCCTCAAAGCCAACATGGGGCTGCAAAGTAATATACCCCATGTATATATTGAACACTGACTTCTCAAGGCTGCAGAAAACATAGCCTGGGAGTCCGTTGAACTACCTTATTATGTGGCAGCTCCTATGTGCAACACAGTGTGCAGTAGTTCAGATGTTTTCTAATCAAGCTATTCAGATATGTCATTGCACATCTCTGGAGCAGATGGGATTTGAACCTGGGACTCCTGGCTCAGAGATAGGGACACTACTACCGTGCCACAAAAGCCCCCATGCATAGTATTTAAATTTTACAGCTTATAATTTTAAAGGGTTTTTAAGGTGAGCCTTTTCAGTATTTGTTTATACAAATAAATGTGCATTTAAATTTATCTGAATATATACAGTTGAGATCAACTTTTATTTCTGAGCTCACAAACTGATCATATGTTGCATTTTTAATAATAATCAAGCTGTTGGCATTTGTCATCGTTACTCAGTGAAACTGAGAGCAGCTTCTGATGTCCACACATGCAGCCTGCCAGAACTGTACCCAACTCCTGTATAGGATGTTCTGTTGAAGGCCTGGCCAGCTGGAAATTAATTAGAAGTTAGTGATTAATGTAAACTTCTACTCTTACAATATTGGTGTCGTAAAATCCAATAAGTATTTTTTAAGTGTAGGGAAAGTTATTTCTTTCAATTAGTCTTCTATCGAAGTTAGGCTGGCCTGTAATTACTAAGGCTACCTCTTACTAACTTTCAAATAATGATAGTTAGCAGTCCTCCACCATGCCTTTGGGTAGAGACGATTAAAACGATCAGAATCTTATCAGTCTCGGAGGTATTTCATTTAGCCTTACACATGTACTAACTTTCAGAACGCTAAGCCCTTTTAAAATAATTCTATAACTGTTTATTCCACCCCATAACCCTCCCACCATAACCACAATAACTGCCTCATTCCCCTCTGTTGTGAAAACAGGTGACTTGTCTTTCAAAATGTTCCTGCAGCTGGTTGACCATGTTTATGGATGTCTGTAATGAAGAATTGCCTGAAGGCTGAATTGTCTTATTGTAATGTGTTGAAAGTTTTGTGTCACCTGTAAGAAATGTTGGATAATAAAAAATAATGGAATGTTTAAAGTAAGTTTTCCTCTTAAGATAAGGGATACAAATGTGCTGGGATCTAAGTGACCTCTCTGCTGAACCATGAAAAACTCTATAGCAATAATTGAAAAAGAATCAAATAATTATTTTGCTATCCTGGCCAGAATATCCAAAAAGTTCTTTGGCTCTTTTAGATAGTATTGTCTTACTGCTATTTGGGGTTCCCAAATAGTGACTGCACTTCAAAATACTTCATTGGCAATCATGAAAGATGTTATGGAGTTACAAATTCCCTGATTATCAAATGGCTTATTGTGAGCCATAAATTGTTCATGTTTTCTTTTTGTATTTTCTTCTAAAAGTAACAGTCCTAATGAAATAGAAGAATGCTGCAACGCGGTTCGTAAAAGACTGGAAGAGTTAAACGGGGAACGTTATCAGGAATTGCATTGGCATCATGAACAGGCAGGTTTTACTTATTATTACTCCTGTCACTGAATGAATTTTTAAATCAGCTGACTATTATTATTAATAATAATAATAATATTATTAAGAAATTAATACAGTGTTATGTGCCTTCAGGCTGCGAACTGCACTTTGGGGACTGTAAGTTATGAGCGCCTGGCGGACTATGGCCCTAAACTTGGACCTGTAACATTAAAAAATCCTCTAGTGACAAGGTACAGTGAAAACCCTACTAAGCACAAGCATACTCTTACTTTTGTATGCCAAGATAAACTTTTAAGGGATGATTAATCCACAATTTGACTGTCCATTCCATGACATCCTGAGATGCTGCGTGGAGGAATGAGGGATCTCATACAACAGATCTTAGCAGGAATGCTGATGTGATAAGTGACATGATAAATTTCATGGTCTGGGTCTCATGTCTACAGTTGTAATCTAGAATGGCCCTCATTGTCCAGTCATGGAGCATTTGGCTGCATTGTTCATGCTGTGTGTGGATTCATTTGAACACTGTTTGTTGCCTTTATAGACGTTAAAGTTAGTGATCTCTGGGTCAATGAGATGTATTTTATGCCACGTGCATCACGCAACTGTAACACATTCTTTTGGAGGAAATGTTGTGATAATTTCACTCGACTAATAATGATCTTAAAGTTGGTCGCCATGATTATTGCCCTGATAGTAACACTGATTATTGTAAAAGGCCCATCAAAGCTCACTGAAGTTCATTGTGCAAGGAAACCTGTCATTGTTTCCTGGTCTGGACTAGATGTGCCTACAGATCTACAATAATGCAGTTGACTCATAACTAGCTTCTGAAATGTCTAGCAAGCTGCCCTGCTCGAGGGCCATTGGGAATGGGTGAAATATGCTGGCCTTGTCAGCAATGTGCAGATCCCATGATCCCATGCTTCAAAAGAGTACATACATTTTAACTCCTGTTTTCTGGGATGGCTGCACAATTTTCAGTGCTACTTTTGCAGATACTTCAAGATTTTTGGGAATGTTAGTGTTCATCATTGCTTTTTCTGTCTTGTGGAGTATCATGACATGTTGGCAAATGGCAGGTACTGTAGTTTTGGAGTGCAGAAGGAGCCACTCCGTTACAGGGAACTTTAGCATTATTTATGCTGTCCTCATGACCACTTGTTAAGTTGCAAATCCATGATCTTAGCCTGTTAAAGTGGAGCAGTAAGCTAGGGGTTTTTTTGTTGCAGTGCAAATGTTCAGGCTGTTCTCATGACATTTGTCAGTCTCCATCAGGTTTATCCTGATATATTTACCTTACAAATCCTCAAACTGGTCGAGATCAAACCCAATGCTGTTGACATCAATCTGATCCACACTAGCTGTGTAGTCAAATAAGCCAGCAGCTCCCTGAGGAGTCTTGAGTCACTGTGGAGCATTCAATTTTATAACAACGGTGTAGTTCCAACCTGTGAATAACAATGATCGAGGCTTCAGTTGTCTTTGCATCACATGGCTAACCAGGATATATTGCTGGTACAGCCTACAAGTAACATATATTGGAAGTATTTACAGGCTAATGCTTAAACTGTTTGATCACATTATGAATCACCATTTGTTACAAGTTCTGGAGGTGGATTTAAACCAGGAGTTTCTGGATCAGAGAGTCTGGACAATACCCACAGTGCCACAAGAACACCTACACTTGGTCTAAATGATGCTTCGACTTGAAAGGGCAGTAGTTTTGGCATTTTGCTGCCTGAGTCCACTCTTCAAAGGGACTTGACACTGGGGGCTAAACATTGGCATTGTAATTCTGTAACCTAGGATTCAAATTGATAAAGATTTTACACAAAACAATTTTAGACAGTTTCTGCTCATGTTCCAAAAGGGAGATCTGCAGAGGATGGTCCCTAATTCAAGCGTGCACAACTGCTTCTGTAATCCGTTGACAAAAATAGAATGCAGACGTAATCCAGCAAATTATTGGATCTGCATAATGTATGCTTTGCTTGTAACAGAAGTTAGTGAAGTTGAAATTGCATCTTGGAAAGTAATTAGAATCAAAAGTATTAAAATTGCAGTGTATTAAACCCTACAAGCAATGCTTGCTTTCATAAGTACTTGGTCTGAGTACCTTTTTGTCTCTAGTGAGATCTGTTAATTTTGTAATAATTCTATGGTTTGTGTGCAGATACTTCACTTACTACTTTGAAGAAATGTCTTTGGCACAGGAGGAGCCAATGATGTATCAACCAGAAAAGGCAGTGTATTTTATGGCCCATAATGGCTGGGTGATGGGTGATGACCCTCTAAGAAACTTTGCTGAGCCAGGTGAATTATTATTATTTTTTTTTTTTTTGCATGGATAATTTTGTTATAATACTGAAACAGAAGTATTTTCTGAAAGGGAAAACAAGCATAGAAATAGTGATTGATAAAAATAAGAAATTTGATATCAAGGTAAAAATGAATAAAAAGTTGTCATTTGGCCTGTTTGATCTTACACACCAAAAAAACGTATAAACGACACATAAATAGTTCCAAAAGTTTTGCTTTCCAGACTCTCTCATATTAATCTCTCTGCAGTGAAGAACTATCAGAAGCATTCTTCACTCCATATGAAGGAGATCTTCGGAACACAAGTCCTAAATTTGCCTTTGCTAGTTTAAACCTGTGCTCCTTTGTGAAGGCTGTATTGCTGACGTAGGGCCATGCTTTTTTTTTTTAAGAAAATTTCCTAAATGATAACTCACTGTCAAAGTTCTGTGGTTGTGTGTCACTTTGAGGAACATGCATGAGAAGCCGGACTTTTAAATGTATAACCAGTAGCCATTGCATTGCTTGTCTTCCACCATGTAGTGGGAATGGGATTAGCAGAATGACTTGACTCTGGCAGGGAGACTGCTTGGACTTGTAGGGTTAAATGGCCTCCTTCTGCAGGAATCATTTTATAACTCTATTTGTTGTCACAATGCTTTCTTCTTGAATTTCAACCTCAGTAATATATTGTTGCCTACAATTGCCATTGAAACCCCACAGATGTTGAAGATCTGAGCTGTTCGAGACAATGGCATTTCTGTCTTTGAAAATTATTAATCCTGTGCAGTCAAAATATTTTCAAATCTTTAAACTTCATTTTCGTAAATGATTGGAATTTAGTTTGAATTCAAACAGTAATTTTAATTGAAACTGGTTAAAGGTTTATCTTGTGACCTCCTGCCACTTGGGCAAAGCTGATTTGTTTAGGTTGAATGGGGTGAAAGCTTAGTTATTCACTTTCATTAAGCAATGTTTCATATGATTGCTTTAGAAAAAGCTGTTGCAAATGTCTTTTTTCATTTTTTTTTGTCATATAGGCACCCTCATTAAATCTATGTATTATGTATTTATCCCCTAAGCAGCTAAAGCTGGTTTGGCCAAAACTTAAAAATGAATCCAGTTCAGGGCATCACACTTTTGGAAGAATATGAAACCTTTTAGAAAGGATACAGAAAAGGTTTCCTAGAACTGATCCAGGGATGAGGGACTTCAATTATATGAAAAGATTGGAAAAACTTTGGTTGCTCTCCTTGTAGAGGAAAAAGTTAAAAGGACATTTAATAGAGGCATTCAAAATTGTGAGGAGTCCAGACAGAATAGATGGGTATAATCTGTTCCCATTGGCAGAAAGACAAGAACCAGAAGATGCAGATACTTAGCGATTGAGAAAAGGATCAAGATAACTGATGAATAGTTAGATCTAGGATTAGGATTAGACTGCCTGAAAGGGAGATCTAATTATTATACTTTTTTAACAACTGTGTTTTATTATTGTAGGTCCTTGCATGTATTTGAAAAGAGACTTGGATAATTATCTGAAGTGAAAAAAATTATGCATCTTTAGGGAAGGGGAATGACACTGGGTAAATTTCTTCGACAGTCAGCACAGGTGTGGCAAGCCAAATAGCCTTTTTTCTGTGCTATAACAATTCTGTGATTCCATGAAGAATTGTGTGTATTTATCCTGATGGTCTTTTCCTGTTTCATGATCATAACATGTTTGCATTCCATTTTTCAATCCTTGGGACTGCAGTATTTCTTGTGCCATCATCATAGATTCTGTAAATCTTTTTGATGTGCTCACAAAGTTACTATATATTTTAACAAATTACATTTTATTTTTATTGTAGGCTCTAATGTTTACCTGAGAAGAGAATTGATTTGCTGGGGAGATAGTGTTAAGCTTCGATATGGAAAAAAGCCAGAAGACTGCCCTTATCTTTGGGCACACATGCAGAAGTATACAGAAATCACAGCCAAAATCTTCTATGGGGTGCGCTTAGACAACTGTCATTCAACACCTATTCGTGTTGCTGAGGTACAGAAGTTTTTTTCCTGTCTGGGTGTTTTAGTTACTATTTAAAAATGCAGGTTACTATTAGATATTATAAAAATGTTCCATACTTTAATTTTGCGGAAGTTGATATTTCCAATTGCTATTATGCACATGCAGTGCCTCTGCCCTCTGCTCCAGTGTTTCTGCAGGTGGCTTTCCAGTCCCAAACTGACTGATTCCACAAGGTTCAAGTGATCTCCATTAAATTGTGCCTTATTACTTAATTCGTTTAGTTTCTGATTTTTATTTTAAAGTTACGGCATCAAAATTTTTGTTGTTTTCACCTGCATGGAGTATCTATGGTAGTGGTACAATGGATGCTTCAGGTAAACTCTTGGGATATATCATGTAAAGCTAAATGCAATGTTTGTATAATTTTTATCTGAAGTTCCTGAAGCGAATCGGCTGTAGTGCTGAAATTGAAGGATTAGCAAGAATGAGACAAAAGTGTCAAAAATCTACCCTGTCTAAAGCTTCTGGGCTTACAAAGTAAGGCAAATAAATGCATAAGAGACTTAAGTCTTCCTAATGTCAGAAGTTGGATTACCAGAGTTAGGAAATTGTAGTTGCTGTTATGGCCATAGTTTGGCTATTCTGTCTTTTAAAGGTGTGTTGTTTTTCCTGTAATTAACAACAGTAATATGACCAGATTCTGCAGTACTTGAATGATTTCTGGTGTACAGTTACGGTTGTTGCATGCCCTTGACTTGTGGTTGCTCAGGTAGATAGTGACTGCATGAGCCCTCTGTTTACTTACTAATGGTGTAGGGAAAACAAAACCTGCCTTTTCTTTCAAGTTGCTGTACAGCAGATATGAAAATGATGTCGAAAGGCTTACTTCAGGAATTTAATTTTGCTGAGCCAAAATTTACCTTGGAGGTATAAAAAGGAAACTGCTATCAACGTTGGGAAGAATTTAAATGATCCCCTCAAGTAAATTATAGAAAATAAAGCAACGGGCAAGTATTTTCATTCATACTGCAAATGGGAGTCACTGGTTTTCTCCTTAAGGAAAATATGAATACATTTTCGTTAATTAACATATGCCCTCTTGACATAAATGTTCTCATTCAGTTTCTGTGCTGGAGCATAACCATACTCGGGGAAGAGTGCATACTATAAACCAGAAATTCTTTATCCAAAAGGTCAATGATTTTAGACACATTTTCAGGGCAATAGGAAAGAGCAGGAATACTGAATGACACTTGGAAAAAATGTCATGGGCCAAATGCTGTATGATTCCATGATTCCAACATTCAAAGTTAAAACTGGTGTGTTCACCATGGAACTGCTTCTGAGCTTGATCAATAAAAGGAAGTCAATATTCTATCCACTAATGCTGGTACTGTTGAATTCTAAGGGAATTAGAGCTGTATTATGCAATCCAGTTCCTTCAAGCTACCTGTTTCGTGACAACTGCACACCAGTTCTGTCATTCACCCTTGCCAAACTGATTAGCTTGCCCTGAAAAAAGTAATCAACAATATACCCTTTTCATTTTTAAGGGATAAAAGTATTGATGACCTATCCAAAAAGTACTTAAAAATAAGTGATGTATAGATCGTTCTATTTCCTTTATATTGCACCTTCTGTAATATTGATTTCTAAAACCAATCACATTTTTAAAGAAAACGGTATGGGTGCTAATTTGAAATGTAAAGAGAAATTATTTTGGTCTCCTGTTCTTAATAAAATCATATATTTGAATATGAAACACCATTGTTTAACTTCATGTTTATTTTTAAAATTTACTGAGATGTACTATCTGTAGCAGATGATGACAGTGGCTACATCAGTCAGTCCAAATGTTTACATCTCAGCAGAGCCCTTTTATGGGCAATGATCAATATCGTTGTCAACTGTCTGGAAACTAGCAGCCTCATTCATGGTACTTGAAGAGACTTGACTTCAGAAAATATGAAATGACCTTAAAAGACCATGTAGCTAAAATTATACTTCTATCTATTCCCATCATTCTATTTTTTGATATACAATTCTTTTTGACTTGTGATGTTTATTAAACTTATGCCATTTGTTCTCCTTTTAACACTTTTCTCACTTCTTCAACATCCACTAACCTGGTAATTTTCCATTTTGCTAAATGGTTTAACTTTTCTGCATGGCTGTCATCATTGACTTACCTTTTTGCCCAGTCTAAGTTTTTGATTTCACCTCTCTTCCATTTGTTTAAATTTATTTCCCTTGGCTCTTGCTTTCTTGTCTGCAGTATATGCTGGACACTGCCAGAAGAATAAGACCAAATTTGTATGTAGTGGCAGAACTGTTCACTGGAAGTGAGGAGATGGATAATGTCTTTGTGACTAAACTGGGCATAAGCTCTTTAATACGAGGTAGGTATGATAGTTTTATGAAAACAGTGTGTTGATATAGTGATGGATTATTATCTTTATAAGCATTGTTTTTGAGTTTTATGATGAATGCATTACAGAAGTAGCTACTTGTTAACAAAGCTCAGTCATCAAATCATCTGGGTAGAAATAGTAACCTTCTTATTATATGCAGCAGTAAATATTAGAGTTAATGGGAAGACTTTATATGTACAAATTTCTGCAGTTGCAAAAATAAACATAGTGCCCCCCTTCCCTGGAGTCCGTGATGCCAAGAGATCCCAGAATGTGTCTTGGATTGTATATCTGGTCTCCAACTAGCCGAGAAAAAAAAAATAACCCGACCCCCCCCTCCCCCCCGCAAAAATGACTATGATTTTGGTAAATTTGAGTGCGTGAGATTAGAGGGAAGAATGGTGTAAAGTTCGTTGCAGTGAGACAAAGCAACTGACTGCTTTGTGTTGTGACGTAATTTAAATAATGCTACATTAACTCTTTATTGATAGTTAATGACTCCAACAGAAAGACATTCAGATACATTGTCGATGGAATCTTCGGCCCAGTTTTGCAGTCTTTGCTAGTTGGAGACCAGATTTACAACCCAAGACACATTCTGGGACCTCTTGGCATCACTGACTCCATGGAAATTACTGGAGAAGTTCTAATTTCCAGTGTACAATTTCCTTGCCACCCTGGACCATCTGAAAGTTTTCAACTAACCGTTTGAGATTTCAGACCATTCAAACAGTCCTGGATCATTCCCAGGAAATACTAGATGGAAGAATCCTAATATAATTCCTGGGTATCTGTACAACTGACTGACAAGAATACCCATCACATCAGCATGCCTGCTAACCTACCCATTACCTCTGCCACCCGTTCACACATTCACTAACACACTGAAAAGCTTTGGGACACTTGAACAGCTTTTTGGCTTTTTAATGAATTCTTATCAGAATACAGCAGCTAGTGTCATTTTGTTTTTAAAAAAAAAAAGCACTCTGACTTGTCTCTTCTGATGATCCAGCATGAGGAAGCAGTTTAATTGAAGGCACACTCTGCATTTCTGAAGAAGTCTGGTTTGGAAGACCCGGTTAGAAATATGGACCTGGGTCAATGCGCAATAAGGTGGGAGCAGAGTGGCCACCCAACTGATTGCCTTTTCTTGGAAGATCTGGATAAACGTGTTTTTAAAGATGACTTGAATAACCTGACATTTACTGTCAACTTTAATTGCCCACATAACTAGCATGATATGCAAACCCAGGACCCCTCATTACCAAGTCCAATTTATTAAGGCATCTCAAAATGCCATTCTGAAACCAGATATATTATAGGTGTTGACATGCCAACTTCAATGCATTCCCAAAGCTTCACGCCAATCAGTATTTCATTTTGGCTTGGGACTTCTGCAAAGAGCTGGTGCTCTGTCCTTCTAAGTTGGCTCTAGAAAGAGAGAGACACTTGCTGAAACAATAACCAGCTGGTATTGGTGAAAACCTATATTGTACTTCATGGCACTGTTTAAAGTTAGGAACTTTACAGTGCATTTTCATTGCAAGGTCAGCAAGATCGAAGAACTCTCTGGCCTGATTTTCATGTTCTGAATTAAAAGTAACATGCAAATTAGTTTTGATACAGATGAGGAAAGTCTACAGTGTGCTAGGAGTTAGGAATTGGGCAGTGTTTGCATACTTTCATGTGCATCCAACATTAATCTGAATTCCAAAATCCAGCCAACCTGTCATTATGTAAATGTCTTTCTTAAGTAACAACATTGTTTTCTTTCTCATTTCCAAGATGTCTTCCCTTTTATAGAACTATAATATATTTGTAACATTTAAATCAATTTTTTAAAAACCTGGTCCCCGTACAAATCATTTTAATCCTCCTTTTGGGTAGTTTCCTACGTGTTCACAACCACTCCTTCAATGTCATCTCTTTCCTGTGGCCTTATCCAGCCTCTCTTTATTTTTGCACATTGTGCTTGCAGCCATTGAGCTATTTATTCCTTGGCAGCCTTGCAGATTTCCCTTTCTTCCCGGTTTTGAAGAGCACCTATCACCAACCCAAACTCATGGCATACTTCAGAAAAATGCTTTGTTCTATGCCCCACATAATTCATCCTTTAATCTCCCTTTTAGGCATCGTCTTTTCAGAGCACATAGAGAGAGAACATCTTTTCAGTTCCTGGGCAAAGAGGGAGGGGTGCTGGATCCTGGGGTGCCTGCTGGGGTTGGAAGATACTGTAAGAGATGTAGGGGAGGTAGTAGGAACTGCAGATGCTGGAAAATCTGAGATAACAAGGTGCAGAGCTGGATGAACACAGCAGGCCAAGCAGCAGCATAGGAGCAGGAAGGCGATCGGGTTAGGGGATTCCTGCTCCTATGATGCTGCTTGGCCTGCTGTGTTAATCCAGCTCTACACCTTGTTATATCAGAGATCTGGGGGAAGTGTTTTTGCAAGTGTGTGAGGTAGGTTGAGGGGTCAACCCTAGTTGAATAGGATCGAATAGTTACTCGGACGTTAGACTAGGTAATTAATAGTCTTACTGTGTTACTGTTTAATTAACTTGAGTGGAAGCTCCAGATTCTCCAAGTTCAGTGGATATTTCTGGAAGTTTCCAAGTGCAAAAGAATCTTCAATTTCCCAGGCAATTCCTCTGTGTCTGCTGTGATGGGGATTTTGCAAGGTCCCTAAGCATAGCTCTCAGCTACACTTCAGAGGCAACGATCTGGCCATCTGAAAATCCAGGCCAATGTTTTCTCCTTGTTTGCATCCTATCCTTGACTAGTACTCGCCATGTTTTACTTGATGACTTTTTTAACCCCTCCCTTTCCCCACAGTCTTTTTTCCTCCTGTTCTTCCTGCCCTACACATTCTGTTCTCTTGTTTTGCCTGAACCAATTTACTTTGTTGGTCTTTGAGTAAAAAGTAGATGAATAAATAGCAAAGTGATATGCATATTTAATACAAAATTTCCTTTTAGGAACTTTTTAAAATTATTCATGTGATATGGGTATTAATGCCTAGGCTGATGTTTATTACCCATCCCTAATTGCCCTGAAAAAAATTAGGAGAGCTGCTTCCGGAACCACTGTAGTCCTCATGGTATAGGTATGTCCAAAGTGTTGTTTGGAAAGAATTTCCAAAATTTTGACCCAGGGACAGTGAAGGGACTGGTGATATAGTTTAAGTGAGGATGGCGTATGACTTAGATGGGAGCCCCCTTGCCTGCCATCTTATGTCCTTATCTGTCTAGGTCAGAGAGGTCTCCAGTTTGGAAGGTGCTGTTGGAGCTGTCTGGTTGAATTCTGTAGTGTACGTTGTAGCTGCCACTGTTTTGGTGATGAAGGGATTGAATGTTGAAGTTGGTGGTTGGAGTTCCGATCAAATGGACTGCCTTGTCGGACTGGATGTGTCATCCTTCTTGAGTGTTGTTGGAGCTGAATCCATCCAGGCAACTGGGGAGTATTCCATCACACTCATGACTTGTTCCTTTTTAGGCCTAAGAACATAAGTAAGAGCATAAGCAATCCCACTCAATCTCTTGAGCCCGCTGCTCCATCCAGTGGGAGCATAGTTAATCTTCTAACTAAAACACCATTTTCCTACACTACGTCAGTTTCCCTTGCTGTTCTTAAATTGTAGAAATCTGTCGATCTCAACTTTTGAAATGTTCTCAATGACTGAGCCTCCACAGCCTGGGAATGGGGTTTCAAAGATTCACCACCCTCTGAACAAAGAAATTCTTTCTCATCTGTGCCCTGAGCCCACTGTTCCAAGACTCTGTGCGCCCTGGTTCTCAAACTAACCTTCTGTCCCGACCCCAACCACCATCCCCAAAAACAAAACCACTAGGACCATCATTTCTGCATCTACCCTGTCAGTTCCTTTTTAAGAATTTGGCAGCAAAATAATTACTGAACTGAAAATTCTGTATTTACAGTGACTCTGCTGCTCTGATTTTTCACAGGATTGCAGTAAGTCTGTACACTGAGACTTAGAAATAGGCAATGAACTAAATGGAAAGAGGTTGAAATGCCCATTTTAAAAAAAAAAAAAAAAATCTCAGCAGAACGTTTGAAATACTGTATGCTGTACAGTTATGAAATTTCCATTTTTTTATTGGGGTATGGTGTACTACAGAGGCAATGAGTGCTGGTGACAGCCACGAAGAGGGGAGACTGGTCTACCGGTTTGGAGGACTGCCTGTTGGATCTTTTGCTCAGCCATCTGTGAAGCCTCTAATACCCAAAATTGCTCATGCTTTGTTTATGGATGTTACCCATGATAACGAGTCCTTGATTAAGGTACAGTATTATTAACATTTATTGTTAATGTTTATCAGCAAGTAATGTTTCAATTATAAATTGTTTATTCCTACATTATAGTGAGTTGAATATTTTTGTTCCCAATAAAATTTGTTTTGCTAGCATGGTGAACTTACTCGGTGAAATTCATGTTTTAAACACATGGACGTAACTATGAAAGTAGTACCTGAATGTTAAAGCTCCTTTGTATGCTTTAGCTAGTCAGTTTAAGAAATGTTAATACTGTCTATTTTTACTTGGTAACTAGTTACCATGTACTTCTATCTTCCCATAATTGAGTGGGGTGCCTCGGCTGCAGGCCTCAACACTGTAGTTTGACCAGGGTTTTGGTTATCAGTAATTGTGTCCTTTTGAGATGAGGTGAGTTATTTAATTTTTCTTACCCCAAAAGTGGTATGTTTAAGAGTAATCAATTATTTAATCACGGATGTAGGTACTAAATATTGATGAGTTAAATGTTGAGTTACCTCTTCTAATGTGAAGTACATTACTTTTTTGCTATACCAAAGAGACGCCCTTTTAATGTTGGAAAGGATAGATTTTAAAAACAACAAGATTGACAGGTACAAAGGGAGCAAAAATCACAAATACCCCAGAGGAGTATTGAAAATGCAGGGGGAACTCGAAAGCATTTAGTGGAGAAAGAGGAGGCATGAAAAAATGCTGGTGGTCAAGATTGGGGAGAGTCGCAAGAAATTCTAAAAGTTTGTCAAAGGGAAGAGAATAATCAGGGAAAGAATGGAGTCCATTAGGGACCATGGGGGCAATCTGTATGTGAAGCTGGAGGCCATTGGTAGAATGTTAAATGTATACTTCACATCCATCTTTACTCTGGAGAAAGTGGAGGCAAATCGAGAATTGGATAAGATGAACTGTGAAGTTCTTGAACTGCTTGATGTAAGAAATGAGATATTTTCACTGGACTTAAAGATAAACACCTCCCCAAGTCTGGATGAATTGTATTCCAGGCAGCTTTGGGAGACGGGGAGGAAATAACAGCCCTGACACATTTTTTAATTGTCTCTGGCCTCAAGGGAGGTGCCAAGTACTGGACGACATCTAATGTGGTTCCATTTTACATGAAGAATGGTAGAGCTAGACCAGGGATCTAAAGACTATCTGCGACGGGCAAACTAGAGGAGAAAAATCTGAAGGAGAGAATTAATCTCCACTTAGTGAGTTGAGATTTGATCGGGGATAGTCAGCATAGCTTTGCAAGGTGGAGTTCACGCTTAACAAATTTAACTGAATTTTTCAAGGGGGTGACCAAGTGTTTAGATGAGCGTAAGGCAGTTGATATAGTTTATATGGATTTCAGCAAGGCCTTTGGCAGAAACACACGTGGGAAACTGATAAGTTTTTACTTTATCAGATCTAAGGTCACTTGGGAAGTTAGATCCAAAATTGGCTTGGTGTCAGGAGACGGAAGATGGTGGCATAAGACTGTCTGTATGACTGGAGGCCGGTGTGCAGTGATATTCTACAGGGATTACTGCTGGATCCCACTATTGTTTGAAATATTCATGAATGACATATGTGAGAATGTGATAAGTTTGTAGATGACACCATGATTGGTCAGGTGGGTGATTTGTGAGGAGGAAGACCTTGGGTTACAGGAAGATATAGGTGGGTTTGGCAGATCAAAGGCAGATTTTAACCTTGATAAATGTAAGGTGATGCACTTTGGAAGTACAAGACAAGGGAGTACTCCATGAATGTTGGGACACTAGGAAGCTCAGAGGAGAGGAGAGATCTCTGAAGGTGGCTGGACAGGTTAATAGGGTAATTAAGACATTTGGGATGCTTGCCTTTATTGGTCAAAGCATTGATTATTTAGAGCAGGGAGCTTTTGTTGGAGCTGAGGGGGATGCAGAGGAGATTCATCTGGATGTTGCCTGGGATAGAGCATTTCATTTGTGAAGAGAGGCTGGCTAAGCTCAGGTTGTTTTCTTTGGAACAGAAAAGGTTGAGGTAGGACCTGATTGAGACATCTAAGGTTATGAGAAACATAGGTAGGGTCAATAGAAAGCAATTATTGCTCTTAGTTGAATGATCAATAACAAAGGGCACACATTTAAATTGAAAAGCAGGAGGTTTAAAGGGGTTTTGAGGAAAAGTTCTTTCATCCTGTGGGTGATGGGGATCTGGAATACACTGGCTGGGAGGGCAGTTGAGACAAGTAACTTGTCAATCTTTAAAAAGTACTTGAATGAGCACTTGAAATATAAGGTTATGGAGCTAGTACATGTAGTAGTGTATTTTTGGTGGTACAGACTCAATGGGCCAAAGGGCCTCTTGGTATGGTATGATTCTGTGAGAATCAAAATGCAAACTACATTTATAAATTTCTACTTAGATCAAGATGTCTACTAGCTTTGATTATGCATAATTTTTCTTTATTTTACAGCGTCGTTCTGCTCATGATGCTCTTCCCAGTTCAACTATTGTTTCTATGGCATGCTGTGCCTCAGGAAGCACAATGGGTTATGATTACCTAGTACCCCATCAGGTTTGTCTGTTGGAATTTTTTTCAACTGATTTTGAAGATTTTCATTTTAACTTTTTCCATTAATCAAAAATCATAGCAAGCAAACGTTCTTTCTTTCTTTCAGTTATTTTCAATAAAGGCTAACAACATTGTGGGAAATAAACAAGGACATTCTTTCTTTTATAATTTACCAGTGTTGGGTTTTGAAATCCAAGAAATGCAGATGTAAATTTTTATGATGCATGGCTAGTTTAGTCATTCATTGCCAGTGAATGTTTGTTTTCCATTGCAAGCTGAAATTTGGATTTAGGTCTTGAAAACTTATTTATTTTTAAAATTAGTCTTAAAAGTTAAAGCAATGGCAATAATTTGTATAGTTATGATTTGTATTCTCTGTCAGACAACACACTTGCACAGTTTGTTCTGAAGTGTGAGAAATTGTTGTATTTGCCCCACTTGTTGAGGATGAACTTTAATGAGTAACAAAGCAAAAGTCATGTTTCATCCTGAAATTTGTTGAAAAATTGACACAAATGTCTACTAATGATATGCTAAATACCATAGGACTACCTTCATTATATTAAAAAAAATCTGAGAAAGCATAAGGATGTTGTATATGCTGTGGTTTTACCAACAATTTTTAAAATCTAGCTTGATTGCATGGCTTAGAAATTGCTACCTTCCCTGCCCCTTTCCTTCCAAACCCCTGCAATGTGCTTGTTATAGGCCTTAATTTTAATTGTGGCATTTAATATTTAAAGCACATACTACTTTTTTTATTTCCAGGAATTAACGTTCAACTATTTATTGTTTCTGCTTCTGTATTTTAATAGATATCTGTGGTTTCAGAGGAGAGACTGTACCCTGTATATAATCCTAATACGCGTCCAGAATATCTAGGGGAAGTAAATCAGCAAAGTGGAATCATTGCAGGAAAGCAAGCAATTAACAAACTTCACCGTGAACTTGGAGCTAATTCCTTCTTTCAGGTGTGGAAATGTGTAATTTTCTGTTCTTTAAATTTATATACTAGATTATACATCAGATTTCTTCATAGTAGCCTCTTGTTTGAATTGAAAAATTATTGCTCAGAATTTGAGACTTTGTGTTCAAATATAGTTGATGTGTATTTTAGGTGTACGTGGATCAGTTGGATGAAGACACAGTGGCAGTTACACGACATTGCCCAAGTAACCACAACTCGGTAGTGGCTGTGTCACGTACTGCATTTCGAGACCCAAATACATCATACTACAAGACTGAGCTGTCTCCTATGTACATCCCAGGTATTGTTTCAGCTTTTTAAAAAGGAATTACTACAGTAATGATTAACAGTTTCCTAATTTTAATAAATTCACGTGAATTTTTTGATAGTATGATGATGATGATGATGATGATTGTGAAACCTTAATTTAAGATTCTAATCAGTTTATTTCAAAAGGCAACAAAGACATGCATGTCTTTAGAAGAAAAAATCTACTTTTATTGAATGAGATTTGTACTTTTCCATCTACCTGTATAAAAAATTATAAAGTTGTTCAATAGTGTAAAGGAGAAAGCACATTTTTCTCTTGCTTGCTTATGTCACCAATTAGTGCTTGTGCTGTGATTAACAGTTGATTTCATTGAAGAATATTAGTAATATAATGAAGGTGAAGATACATCTGTACCTACAGAGGACTCAAATCCAGTACACAATACCATTTAATTTGCCGCAATCAATAACAAATCTTGTTATAATATCTTTAACAATCATTTCCCTATTTTATATATAACAATCATTAACATTTTTCATATTCTGTACTTTGCAGTATAATACAGTCAAGCTTTTAACAGCAACAGCTGTTGATGCCTTCCACATTCTCCCAGCTTTCTTTAAACAAAAGAAGTTATATTTAATTCCAAAATGATTCAAACAAAATCAATTTTCCATGCTTTTGTAATTCTCATAACAAGTGTTGTCCATCTTTGAGTAATTTCTTGGAGCAAGATTTCCTTTTTATAAAACAATCTGACCACCTGTGATCTGCATTAACCCACTTAATTTCAAATTTTTGTAAAATGATTTCCTTTTATACTAGTGAAGTCAATCCTCAACCTTTACTCAGTGATGCACTTTGTCAAATAGACATGTTCTCAAAGAGATTAAAAAAACACTAAAGACGGATAAATTTCCAGAACCTATTCAAATGTATCCCAGGGCATTGTAGGAACTGAGGAAAGAAATTGCAGGACCCCTAGCAGATATTTGTATCATCTACAACTGTGGGTAAGGTGCTGAAATACTTGGAGGGTGGATAATGTCCTTCCTTTATTTAAGGAGAAGTCTGGGAACTGTAGACTGGTGAGTCTGACATCAGTGGTGGGTAAGTTGTTGGAGGGGATTCTGAGATGGGATTCATGTGCATTTGGAGAGGCAAGGACTGATTAGGGACTGTCAGCATGGCTCTGTGCAAGGGAAATAGTGTCTCTCAAACTTGATTTGAGTTTCTTGAGGACATAATCAAAAAGATAGATGAGGGCAGAGTGATAGATGTTGTCTACGTGGACTTTACTAAAGCCTTTGACAACATTTCGCATAGTAAGCTAATTAGTAAAGTTAGATTACATAGGACTCAGGAAGGTCTTGCCAATTGGATACAAAATTGGTTTGACAGTAGGACAAAAGAGGGTGGTGGTGGAGGACTGTTTTTCGGACTGGAGGCCTGTGACCAGTCATGTTCTGCAAAGGTCGGTGCTGGGTCCACTGTTGTTTGTTATTTATATAAACAATATTGAGCATTTAGGAGGCATGGTTAGTAAGTTTGTGGATGGTACCAAAATTGGTGGTATAGTGGACAGTGAAGAAGGTTTTCTAAGATTACAAAGGGATCTTGACCAATTGGGCCAGTGATGTTTAGCATGCTTGCTTTCATTGCTCAGACCATTTGTGTAGGAGTGGAGACTCATGTTGAGGTTGTACAGGACGTTGGTGAGGCCACTTTTGGAGTACTGTGTACAATTCTGGTTGCGCTGCTACAAATAGAGGAACAAAAACAAAGTTGCTGGATTTACTGGGAATGGAGGGTTTGAGTTTTAAAACTAGGCTTGATAGGCTGGGCCTTTTCTCACTGGAGTGTAGGAGGCTGAGGGGTGACCTTATTGAGGTTTATAAAATCATGAAGGGCATAGATAAGGTGAATAGCCAAGGCCTTTTTTGTATGGAAGGGGAGGTCAAAACTAAGGAGCATGATTTTAATGTGAGAGGAGAAAGATTTGAAAGGGACCTGAGGAGCAACTTTTTTCACACAGAAGGTAGTTTGTATGTGCAGAGGAAGTGGTAGATGCAGGTACAGTTACAACATTTAAAAGACATTTTGACAAGTACATTAATAGGAACAGTTTAAAGGGATATGGGCCAAACGTAAGCATGCAGGTTGGCATGGATTAGTTGGACCAAAGGGTCTGCTTACATGCTGTATCACCCTGTGACTCTCTAATAGTTACCAGCATGATGATCCGTAGGCATTTTTTTGTGGTTACCTATTGTTTAGGATTATCGTCAGAATGTTGGATAGGTATACCACTATATCTATTGCTTCTGCTAACACCAATGTTTCAGCAACCGAGTTGCCTTTAAGTACCATTTTCCTTCGTTGGCTACCCAGGCCAATACTCAGTATTTTTACAGCAGAATATGATAAACCTTGCAAAACCATAATATTTGTTCAGAAGTTTGGCATGTGAAGTATCACTAAAACAGATACAAGCTTCATGTTTTCTGGGTCATCTGAGGCTAAAAGCTTCAGTACGCATTTTCAGAATTTTTTTTTCATCTCATCTTAAAATTTCCTCAAAGTAGCATGTTTCATTTCTAATACTCAAATGCAATAGATTATAGCTAGTATTGGGTCAAGTTTGATTACACAGCCATTTAAAATGTTCAGTCATATTTATTAACTAGCCTGTTTCTTCCCTGATGCCCGACCATCTTTCTCAGCCTGGCACAATTTATTGAGAAGCAATTTCACATATTTAAAATAAGACTGGTGAGTCAAGGTCACTTGTGACTTATTCTGCTTGACGTCTAATCCTATTTATTCAAAGGCTTCTGAAGCCTGACTTCTGATCTTAAATTGCCTTTTTATTTTGTATATCACACATTGCTTAAATTCTGCAGAACGTCTTCACAGGAAATCACTGTCCAGCATCATGAAAATGCCTGCCAGTTTTGCTTTTATGACACCAGCAGAATATTGCTAGATGTGCTTTCAGCAAGGTGGACCTAATTGAGAAGTACCATATGCTTGATGTGCCATTCAACCTGTTAATACATTTGTTTAATCTTCACAGCTTCTTTTCTATATCCCCTTCTTTAGGTGATTTCAAAAATACTTCCCTTTGAAATTTTTCACCCTGCAAAAATGTGGTTTTCATATTCATCAATCTGCATTTCCAACAACTTGATGCAGTTAGCAGTTACTAGAAACCTCTCGTGGCATTCCTAGCCTGTTCCATGGTCCTCATTCTTGTCACTCAACAATCTCTACTTGCTGCCCTAGTTTTGTCTGGACAACAGCTGCATAATCTTTCTGACCAAAGATCAGAACTCTTGTTACCTGCCAATGATCTTTTCCTGAGTCCGTAATCCACTTCAGAAACTTGCACTGAATTTTCTGGCCTTGCAAATCTTTACTTCACTTCAATCAATCAACTCTACTTTCATTATAATGGTGGCAAATCTCCTTTCACTCCTATCTTCTAACACATTTGTTATGCTTTAGTGCTGACTTTTAGTTGTCCTGTGAAATACCGTCCTATCCAATGCTTCAGTATCATTTTGTCTGTATTCAAACAGTCCTTTGCCTGCCATGAGCTGCTCTCTACTTGCATAACTTGTGTACGTGAAGAGCATGATATCTGATCATTTTCCTTTTGTTGTTCAGATTCTATAAATATATAACCAGTACTGGTTAACCTTGAGGAATGTACGCTAATGGATCTATTGCCATGTTTGAGAATCACTATTTTTCCATCTCTGCCTATCAACTTAACCTGGCCTTTTCACTCTTTCTGCCTATCTCTCTTGTAACACATCCATTCAGCAAGATTTATTTTTATGATGGCCTTGTACAGTGCTGCAAAACTTGTCTAATTTTATCTGAAACCTCTGCTTTGATGAATGCCTTTCTCATGGAAAGCAGCATATGCCAGTGTTAAAGTAAATTGGAACTAATTGTAGTTTCTTCCAAAGCTGGTGGGTGATCATACATCACCAAAGGCATTTGTTGATTTCTCCTCTAAACCAATTGATATTGACGTTGAGTTCCAAGCATTTGAAGTGAATTCTTCACATGGACTGTTTATGCCAGAGTAGATGTTAGTTTACCACTTGATTTATTATTATTTTGAGAAACATTCTGTCAATCACTGCATGAGTGTTTTTTTTACAAACCCCATTAATGAAGGGACTTTGCACTGCTGTGTCTATTACTACAATGTTCATATTTTAACATCCCTTTAAATTAAACTGTCAGCAGACCTCCCAGCCATGTCATCCTCATTATTAATTGAAAACTTACTTAGATGGTAGCCTTGGTCTTGCCCCTAACTATTTTTTAGTTATCTTGTCCACAATTTCTTGTTTCTCTTTACTATATATTAATGCAAGTTGAAGCTAGTTGCCATGTGTAAGATGAAACTGTCCTTGTGTTTATCCCATGACTTCATTGTTGCTCCAACTTCTTAAAGTCTCTTACTAATGGGAGACTCTCATTGTGAGTTGTGATAGGCTTTGTCCATATATCACATCTTTCACCAATCTCTTCTATACATTTTAGTGTACCTATCATTCATTCCTCCTGCAAATTTCATTAGGATTGTTAACCTGTGACAAACTGCCGAGCTAACTACTGTTTGAAGTCAGTTTGTCTTTTTCCCTTTTAATCTACTATTCCCTGATTCCATGAGCGCTATAACAACTTTACTAAAGGGATGCAATTGTACCCTGATTTGCTAAACTGTAAATCCACCAAATTTCCAAAAATCAACTACTTTGTGTTCCTATCCCCTTTCATTTGAGCCTTTTTCACAGAGAGATGCTATCTTGCTGGATATTACATCTGTGCTGATGAAATGGATTACCCTAGAAAGTTTACATAGAATCACTGCTCTTTTAGTAAATTGTTATCTTTCAACTTGCAAGTAGAACTTTCATGTTCCTTAACATTAATTTTATTTAGAAAATCCAGGGAACGTTTTAACCAGATCACTCCTCTTATAATAGATGCTTGCTATTGAATAAATC